AAAAGCCATATAAAAGAAACAACAAGTTATATAAAACAAATATTAGCAAAATATCTAAATAAGAAATTTGATATACTTGAAAGTATAAAAGTAGTTTTAGAAGCTATTTAGGATATAATAATAATAACCAATAAAGAGATAGAAATATATATAAAACAAATAATAGCAAAATATACCAGAATAAAACTCATCACAAAAAAAGAAACCAAGACACAAATAAAAGAGTTTTATAAAGAATTATAATGATATAACAAAGAAAAACTAGAGTATACAGGACTTACACTTATAGAAAGAAACTATTGTAGTTTTCACAAAGCAATACAAAAAGGAGAAGACCCAGTTAGTTATATTATATATAAAGAAATAATCTGTATTATAGTAAAATTAAAAATAGCTAATAGAATAAGAAGTTTACAAGAGAATAGAAAAAAACAAGATACTAAAATAAAGTTAAAACTAGAATTAGGTTAGAGCAAAAAACTTCAAAAATAAAAAAAAAGTCAACAAAAACAGCACAATAAAACAGCCCTGAAGTCTATAGTATATCAATTCAAAAAATCTGTTAAACCTACTATAGCAAACTAACAAGAGATAAGAAGAAAAGCCAAAAAAAAAAAAAAGATACAAGTCTAGCAAAAAGAAAAACAAGCTACTGAAATAAAATCAAAATTAAACTAAATTAGAGCAAAAGACTTCAAGAACAAAGCAAAAGTAGCATAACCAAACAGTACTAAGAATTCTAGTAATACAATTTAAAGTATTTGTTGAATTTGCTACAACAACCCAATATAGAAGAAAAAAGAAAATCAGAAAAAAAAAGAAGAAAAGTAGTAAGAGATATAATATTACAGATCTTACAGAAACAAAAACCCTGAACAAATTTGAGAAGAGTTAAAACCTAAAATCATATTGTTACAGTACTGTGGCCTTCTTAATAGCAGTACTATAACAATGACATGGTTACAGGGATCTTTTACAGATTTATAGCAATGTTCAACAGATAAGTATAATTTTTACTACAACTAGAAACTATACTCTTCTGTTTGCAGCAGTTCGGACAGACAATAGTTTATGAATAAAATATATGTTTTATTAGAGAGAATAAGATAGGCTATCCTTAGATTTCTATTTCTAAAGAATTCTATAATATTACAAAAGAGAATTTAGAAAAGAGAGAAGTCTAGGTCTAAGAGGTAGACGATGCAGGTCTAATATTAACTTGAAGAAATTTACATTCTTTTTATATCTTTAGAGCTAATCACTAATTATTGCAGCTAAGCATAGTTTACTTAGTGCTAAGCATAAAATGTAATCATTAAGTGTTAAGCGCTAATTGTAATCGCTAAGAGTAATCGCTAATCGTTAATCACTAAGTATAATCGCTAATCGTAATTGCTAAGCGTAATCACTAATCGTTAATTGCTAAGCATAATCGCTAATCATTAATCGTTAAGCGTAATCACTAATCATTAATCACTAAGCATAATCGCTAATTGTTAATCGTTAAACATAATTGCTAATTGCTAATTATTAATCGTTAAGCATTAAGCATACTATATGTTTGTTAAATTCTACTCTAATAATAATAACTAAATAATCTAAATAATAATAAGCTAATAAAATAATAAATAATAAAATACAATATCGAAATAATAAACTAATAAAATAATAAACTATTCTATAATTAACTCTTTCTAACGATCCCTTGGTCAACAACAAAAAAATCGAACTATAGTAAAAAGTATAGAAAAGCAACTAAATAGACACTACTCTTAGTTCTACATTAAGTAGACTGTTGTTGATGAAGCCTAAGTTAAACATAATATACCAAGGCATTTTCTGGTAGTTTTTCTTTGGGTCAAGTTTCTTGCTAACAGACTCTCAAGGATATTTGGCATCCAAACCAGAAAATTTATTTTGGGAACAGGAAGTAGCTAGGCTCTCACCAAGAATAGAAGAAGTTTAGAAACCGGATGATACAACTGTAAAACTTACAAAAAGAACCTTATATATATTTGTTGACCCACCACTTTTCTTTGAGAAAATTTTGTAAAAAGTGGGTGTTTCAGCTTACTCTCTCCAAAAGATCAATATTATGTGTACCAATTAGTCAGTATTGTTTATCTTCTAAATCGATTGGTAATAACAAACACGTGAATACACATGCCTCAAATAGATTATCTTTTCATATAAACAATGCTTCGAGATATATTTCTGACCTCTCTACAATCGGGGTACTATCTATTAGAAGAAGTATTTTGGATTAAAGTTGAGGAAGTTCTTTTCACCTGGTTTTACTTAGATATACTAATTAAATAGGTTTAGAGTAGAGACTATCTTGTTTAGTAGTATATAATTTTTACAAGCCTTTACCAGCTTATAATGGTTACATTAGGATAGCATTTTGTTTTATTTTCTCGTTACTATTTTTACCCTTTTCTTTTCTTGTTTGTATCTTTTATCATTTCCCCTATACCTCTGTTTTTTCTTCCTTTTTGTTATTTCTTTTTTATTTTTCTGCTTCTTGATAAGCCCGTAGCAGTTAGCTAAGGACTGATAGAAAAAAGTTTCCTGCAAGTGGGGACCTGGAAGAAGGCCAATTGCTACTAAGGCAGACCACATTGGTACTTTTAAGATGTTAGTAAGCCCATATTTTGGTTAGACAATATAGGTTAAAATATGAGAATGTAATATTTTTGTTAAAATTCTCAGTTTTAAATAAAATAGAGCAGGCAGCCGAATTATCAAAAAAAAAATAAACTGTTTTATAATATTTTCGTCATCTTATAAAAATTTGCTCTGCAAATTTTTAATTAAAAACTAATACTCTTTATCAGTAAACTTGACAACGTGAGTTACGGTAAAGTATCAGGTCTAATATAACAATCCTTTAGGTCAAATACTAAAAATTTGTTGGAGTTGAGTAGCTTCTTTTCAAATATCTTGAGTCTTTTGAGAATCTTGAGAAGCTTGCAGGAGTTCACAAATGTGTTGTCATTTGTTGGGCTATTTTTGGATAAGAATTTCTGAGTTCGGCCTTTATCTTCTAATTGTCGAAGAATTTTGGTCAATTGATTGGTCTTTCCAAGTTCTATCAATAAAAGGATTAGGATAGTTATATGATAGAAGAGTAAGAGATTAAATGAGTTCATCTCGAACTTTTGGAAAATTTTTGTTTCTGGTTCTATTTCGGAAGAAGAATTGTCTAAAGTAGGGTTTACTTCTGGTTCTGTATCAGATGGAGGATTGCTTGGAGTAAGGTCAATTTTTGGGTCTTCGGTTAAGATATTATCCAAAAAAACTTCTATATTAGTGAGATCGATAGAAGTATCTATTGCATTATTTACTAGAGAAATAATATCACTAGTATTATTAGGGTCATTAGGGTTCTACAGAAAAATGTTAGAAGAACAAATTTCCAAATTGTTTTGGCAACAGGGTTCTGTCTCTAAATAGTAAGAAAGTATTGAAAGGTTTGGATAGTTACGGGTTGCAAGGTGTTGTTATGTATAATATCTATATATTGTGTATAAATTAGGGAATTTCTGACTAAAGTATCTATTTATAATTTTTAAAGTTATACAATTGTCTGTTTCACAAAATTTGTCTTTGTCTCTCCTCATCCAATAAAATTTTTTCTAGAAATTAAAGATTTTTAATCACAATAATTGGTTCCCATATCTGTTTCTCATAGTACTTTGTTAGTTGATCACTATTATAATACTTCTGTAGTATTTTTTCATCTAATGTTCGTAGTCTGTAGACTCCATTATTTAATTTCGCATGGATAATGTAAGGTCCTTCTCTTTTGGCTTTGAATTTAGCTGATCTTGACTTTTCTAAAGCCTTAATTTGTATCCAAACTTTTTCACTAATTTTAAATTCTTCTGGTCTAATTCTTGCATCAAAATATTCTTTCTGTTTCTCTTGTGACTTTTCTGTGTTGGTTCGAGCTTCTTCTTGTGTTTAGAGTAGTTTTTTCTATTAAATCATAGACTCGTTGTAATATACTATCAAGTAAGTCTATTTCTGTATCAGGGTCTGGTAGTAGTTCAGTAGACAAAATTGTTTTGATAGATAGGATAACTTGTCTTCCGTAAACTAACTAGAAAGGTATATAACTAGTAGTAGTATGTCTCTTGATCCAATATGCTAAGAGAATAGCAGGTATATAAATATCTTAATCTTCATTTGTTTCTTTTACTTTGGCAAGTGATTTGCAAAATGTTCTATTTAATCGTTCAACTATTCTATTGGTCTAAGAGTGGTATAGCGAAGAGAACTTGTGCTTGATAAGAAACTTTTCACACAGTATTCGAATAGTAGTACTAATAAAGTTTCTTCCTTGCACTAGTCGAAATACTGCTATTCATTATAATGAAAGGTATATGCAAATAGGCTAATTGATAGATGATTTTTATTACTTTTATTATTAGACGATTTATTGCCGATTAGCAGCAATCGCCACCACTCGGCAGTCAATCGTCAATTAATAAAATCGATATAAAATCGCTTAAAATCGGCTATAATGACATTCGTAAATAAATCGATCATAAATCGTATTTAGTAAATAAAAAAGCATATTAAACATTCATAAATAAATCGAAATAATTCGTTAATTAGCCATAAAAATCAGTTATTAAAATATTAAAATCGGCTATTAATTGATAGAAATCGGGTTATTAAAATTAACAATTCAAAATAACATTCGGCTTAAATCGTTAAATTATATATTTTGATTATTAATCGGCATTAAAATTATTGCAATTTTATTGATTAATTATTGATTAAAATCGTCATAAAATTCATTATTACATATTAATTATTTTATTTAAAGTTATAAAGTCAAACAATAAAGAAATAGTCATAATAATAGCAAAATAATAGTGATAATTATAGCAAAAAAACATGTTAAAAAAAATGAATTTAAAAAAAAAAAATTTTTAAAAAACTGATTTTCTTAAAAAATCCTACCTACCCATCCCAAAAAAAATAATCTTTCACTTAGGTGCCTCTTCCTGAGACTCTTCATCTGTACTTTCTTCAGTTAAGTTGTATTGTACAGTGCTTGCTAAAGTACTACAAATTTCACATATTTTCATACTTTCACCAGTTTTGAGCTCTCTCTTTCTTGAATACAAAACCACTTTGTCATAGTCTCTACTTTGAATTTGGGTTTTTTTGTTGATCTTTCGGTCCTAGAAGCAACTTCTGTTTCTTTTTTTTTTACTTTTTCTTTTCTCTTACTCTTATCTTTTCATTCTTTTATTCGTTCTTTTGCAACTTTTTCTTCATCAGATATGTAGGTCTAATTCGGCAGGTCGTCTGGCCTAGATGCATCATAAAAGAACTCAATATCATCATAAAATCATTTCCTTGTTTGTTGTATAGTTGAGATCTTTTTTGCATTCTCGTCTAACGTTTTTCTTAATAAGCTTCTTAACTATAAAATTGTTAGTTTAAATAAATTAATATTATTAAAATCATTAGTATTAATAAATTACAGTATTAATAAATTAAAAAATTATTAGTATGTATTAAAAAAATTGTTAGTAATATAAAATCGGCAGTATTAATAAATTAATAAAATCATTAAAATTAATAAAATCATTAAAGTTAATAAAATCGTTAAAATTAATAAAATTGTTAAAATTAATAAAATTGATAGTAATATAAAATCGGTAGTATTAATAAATTAATAAAATCGTTAATATTAAATAATTAATAAAATGTCAGTATTAATAAAATCAGTAGTAATATAAAATCAGCAGTATTAATAAATTAATAAAATCATTAATATTAATAAATTAATAAAATGTCAGTATTAATAAAATCGTTAGTATTAATAAAATCATTAGTATAAAATCATTAAGTTTTTACTTGAACATTTGGAATTTTATGAATTCTGATTTTTTATTATACTATTTACCAATTATATATAGGTTAGTACTATACTTGACAGTCGCAAATAATTGTTAATCTCATAATAACATAAGAAAAAAAATTCAGAAGTCACAAAATTCAGCATTAATTTGATCAAAAATCGACAAACCTCATTTGAACACCATGTATAATCATATATATTAGCATTTCTTTTTTTACTGTCTTCTGGATTGGTCTCACTTTGTTCAGATGAGTAGATTTCAGTTTTTAAAAGTAAATGTAACAAC